ATCCCTCCACAGTGTTTTTTTTAGAATTTTTCAAAAAAAAAAAAAATTTAGATTTCCCTCGACAAGACAGATCAAAAAAGTTAAAAAAATTTCCACAGTGTTTTTTTCAGAATTTTTCAAAAAAAAAAAAAAACTTTTTAGATTCCCCTAGACAAGACAGATCAAAAAAGTTTAAAAAATTGACATAATTTTTTTAAAAAATCTCTAAAGATAAAAAAAAAAGTCAAAAAAACTAACTTCTTTTTTTTTCTCTGCCAAAATGGACTTAAAAATCAACTAACCTTTTTACAGTTTATTCTTGGTTTGGTTTTGCATCATGATAAACTAACCTCCACTCGAAGAGTGGTACCGACTCAACTTAGTGAGTTTACTAGAACCGATCTCCTCATCGAGTACAACTCCTACCCCCCAATTATAATTGAGTCCAGATCATCTGTCGCCCCTTCCTTCGGTGTTCCAAAACAACGTCGCTTTGGATTTTTTTTGCCTTTCTTATTTTGCTTTTCAGATAGAAGATGATGAACATGTAGAAGATGATTGAATTTCTTACCTGTTGAACTTGACAAATTCAAGTTCAAATAAAAAAATTGTAATCCAAGTAGATCTCGAACGTGAAGAGCAAATCCAAACTGATCACTTACTCAAAATTGATTTTAACTTTCAAAAACATACATAAATTGAGTAAATTCATAGTGGGGATTTTTATAATCAGTTTTATCATCATCATCATCATCAACAACAATAACTTAAAAAAAAAAAAAAAAAGAGTAGAGAAAGAGAGAGAGACCTAGATCTGAAGAGTCGGATTCTCTCTCTGATTCCCTCGCTGCCACCAAAGCTCACTGTTGTTTGTCGGCGCGATCTCAGATCTAGAGACATGGTGGTGAGGTCGGACCCTTCAATGATCGTCGGCTGGTGAGAGAGAGACAGAGAGAGAGAGAAACGAGTTTCTCAATCGGCAGTGATAGAAAGAGAAGAGAAGAGTTTGACGGCGAAGAGTAGCATCGGTAAATGATGCTGAAACCTTAGCAGCAGTGTCGGCGAAACTGAGTTTTGAAAAGAGATATGCGTCGTCGTGCAGCCATGATGGCGTTATATGTGAATACGGTGGTTGAAGAAGACGGATTGACCGGTAATGACAAAGACATGGTGGGGGTTGCTGACGTGGATGAAGGACTGGACGCAGTGGAAATTAGACTTTTGAAAGAGATTGAGCTATTTAGAAAGCAAAATAAGAATGGTGGAAAAAAAAAAATCAAAACGACATCGTTTTGAAATGCCACAGAAATCGTCGTAGGAAGGGGTGACAGACAATCTAGACTCAACTATGTGGGTGTTTGGGAATTGCTATTTTAGAGATTTTTTGACTTTTTGACTATTTTAGTAAGTTATTTTAGTTTTTGTATTTGGAAAGATGTGATGGATTTTTATTTGAGTTGATATATTGAAAAATGTGTTGAAATGATGTTTGAAGTTAAAATGACAAATTTATCCCTAATCTCATATTTTTCAAAATTAATCTAAAGGAGCAAAATTGTAATTTACCAACCTGTCACTGTGACAGCCCCACAGCCGGCTTTTATTATTATTATTATTTTTTTTCTTAAACCATTGATTTAGGGGCTATTAAAAATAATCATCCATTTTTTATAATATAAATTTGATTCAAATATATAGTTCTCAATGTTCAATCATCTTATTTTTTACATAAATATTCTATTCAACAAATTTTATAAAATGAACAATTCGAATTACCAAAATAAATAAAAATAAATAAATTTACCAATTTCAATCATCATCATCATCAACAACAATAACTTAAAAAAAAAAAAAAAAAAGAGTAGAGAAAGAGAGAGAGACCTAGATCTGAAGAGTCGGATTCTCTCTCTGATTCCCTCGCTGCCACCAAAGCTCACTGTTGTTTGTCGGCGCGATCTCAGATCTAGAGACATGGTGGTGAGGTCGGACCCTTCAATGATCGTCGGCTGGTGAGAGAGAGACAGAGAGAGAGAGAAACGAGTTTCTCAATCGGCAGTGATAGAAAGAGAAGAGAAGAGTTTGACGGCGAAGAGTAGCATCGGTAAATGATGCTGAAACCTTAGCAGCAGTGTCGGCGAAACTGAGTTTTGAAAAGAGATATGCGTCGTCGTGCAGCCATGATGGCGTTATAGGTGAATACGGTGGTTGAAAAAGACGGATTCACCGGTAATGACAAAGACATGGTGGGGGTTGCTGACATGGATGAAGGACTGGACGCAGTGGAAATTAGACTTTTGAAAGAGATTGAGCTATTTAGAAAGCAAAATAAGAATGGTGGAAAAAAAAAATTCAAAACGACATCGTTTTGAAATGCCACAGAAATCGTCGTAGGAAGGGGTGACAGACAATCTAGACTCAACTATGTGGGTGTTTGGGAATTGCTATTTTAGAGATTTTTTGGCTTTTTGACTATTTTAGTAAGTTATTTTAGTTTTTGTATTTGGAAAGATGTGATGGATTTTTATTTGAGTTGGTGTATTGAAAAATGTGTTGAAATGATGTTTGAAGTTAAAATGACAAATTTATCCCTAACCTCATATTTTTCAAAATTAATCTAAAGGGGCAAAATTGTAATTTACCAACCTGCCACTGTGACAGCCCCACAGCCGGCTTTTATTATTATTATTATTTTTTTTCTTAAACCATTGATTTAGGGGCTATTAGGCTTTTTTTTTCTTTTTTTTTTCTTTCTTTTTTAAAGAATATTTTAGCCATAAAGTTAGGTCCCAAACACCCGCTATAATTTGGATGCAAGGGTACTACTGCGCCCAAACGGCGTCGTTTCGGCATTAAATAAAAAAAAAAATTTGAAACGGCTGCTCAGAGGGTTTGAACCTAGGCAACCCTGGGGTGCAAAACACGCCTTAACCACTGTGCTACTCAAACATCCTATGAATATGATGGACATATATTATATTTATATCAATTTTTATTCCAACATAAAAATTTTTTTACGACCTGTTATAAGTAAATTACAAAAAAACGATTGAAGCAAAAAAACAACCTGTTGCAATCTACTATTATGGACATATAGTATGGACATATATTATATTTATATCAATATGTATTCCAGCATAAAAAAAAAATTATAATTAGTTACAGCCACCATAAAGCTTATAAAATAAAATAAAAAATGCTTTCCATTTTCAAAAAAAAAATTCCAATCTACACAATAACAGTGGTGGCTTCTCCTTAAATAAACATTGAATCCATGTCAAAAGAGAATTATATTTCAATTGAATAGTAAAAAAATAGTCTTATTTTCACGAGGCTTATGACTTGTAGTATAAAAAATTTAAGTAGCAAATTTAAGTAGATTAACTTTTAGCTTGTTTAGACTATCTCCAAAGGGAAGTAACAAATTTAAGTAGCAATTGTGAACTTTGCTACTTAGGTCAAGTTTGGCATAACCTAAATAATACAAAAAGTTAAAAAGTCACTATCCTATTTAAGTCACATCATTTTATTTAAATCATATCACCTCTCTAACACATCACATCAAACCCAACCCATATAAGCTAATAAGTCAAAAAGTGCACTTTTTTTGAACATCCCAAACCAACTCTTAATATCTAAATTTGCTACCTCAATTTGCTACTCCTAAAATTTTGTGAAGGGGAGGTAGTAAAATTTTATTATTTTATCATTGTTGTTCCAAAAAGCATTTTTTACCATTGAATAGAAGTTGTTACTAGTAACACCAAACATGCCAGTATCTGAAAATGTAAATACCCATAAATCACTCTTCCATTTGTAAAAATTAAGAACATTATTCCTACTCATAAAATCACTCTTCTATTGAAAATGTAAATGTCCATAATCGTACATGCTTGTATTAAGAACATTATTCCTACTCATAAAATCAATCAACAAAACACAATTAATGAGATACATTGATCATCATTTATCCATCACTAGAACAGGATGATATAGGAACAAGCCAGAAATTAAGTGATGAACTTATGTAAGTGTAGGTTTATTTATTCACACAACAACTTCATTTCTAATAATAACAGAGCATCAATTTCGTAACAGAGCATCAATTTCGTAACAGAGCATCAATTTGGATTAAAAAATATCATAAAATTTTTTAACTTAAAATGTTATATTAAAATCCCCAATTCAAAACACAATCTCTATTTGATATGAAAATAAATCACTATATATATACAAAATAGATTGTAATAAATACAAAATATATATATATATATTCAAAAGATTCTTAATAGATTGTATACAAACCTCAATATCATGAGTGTTTTAGGAGAAGATAACAGATTGTATACAAACAGATTGTATACAAACCTCAATATATATACAAAAGATTTTTTTTTCAACCTCAATATATAACAGATTGCATATATATATATATATACAAAAGATTCTTACCAAGTAAATAAGCAACCTCAACGACAATGGTGATAGTGGAGCTACGGTACAACAATGGCGGAGGATCGTCGGAGGAACGTCGGAGTATACGGTGGAGGCACGGTAGAGACACGACGGAGTAATGGTGGAGAGACGGCAGACCCAAACCCTTCCCGCTCACAGACTCTTGTTTTTTTGTATTTTACTTATACCAGGTTGTAAATTTTTTTTTTAAGTTGAAATAAAGATTGATATAAATATAATATATGTCCATAATATTTATAGGATGTTTGAGTAGCACAGTGATTGAGGCGTGTTTTGCATCTCAGGTTGTCAGATTCAAACCCTCTGAGCAACCGTTTCAAATTTTTTTTTTTATTTAATGTCGAAACGATGCCGTTTCAACTCACAACAGTTACTGCTCTGAGTTGGGCGCTGCAGTACTCCCAAATCCCTATAATTTCGACCACATCTTTCCATCACGTGGATCACTGTTCACTGCTGAACTTCCATTATCATAAAGCTGCTCCAAAATTAGCTTGGTTTCAAGATGTAGAATCTATGTTGAATCACCATTTGAACCGAGAGCGAGGGCCACACACTTTCTCTCGAGATGTTATTAGTTAGTTGGTGCACCGTGACATGGTGATAGTGAATTATAATTGGTGTAAAGCACGATCGCGTGACTAATCAATAATTTTTCCTCATTCTCATCAGTGGTGCATTAGTAGTGGACTCTCATCATACACACTTTCTCTAACCGCCCCATTTTCACTCCTCGAAGGTCTCACCGCCAAAAATGGTGATCGGAGCATTCTCGCTGGCGCCGGTATATCTATTCCGTTGTTCGACGATGAAGAAGAAGAGGATGGAACGAAGGCAAGACCGCGTTGTCGGAAGCCTAGGGCATTTGGTTCAGGTGGTTCGCAAGGACGTTGAGTTCTTCAAGAATCGAATCAGTAATGGCGTCGACTGGGCCAATCGAGCTCTTCGCATTCCTCAGCTCTCCAAAGCCCTAGACGACGTTATATGGCTTCGCAACCTCGAAGATCCCCATGCCCCTCCCTTCACCCCTCCTTCTTGGCCTCAACCTTACTATCCAGGTTCTCTCTCTCTCTCTCTCTCTGTGTGTGTTCTTTTGTATATGTAGATTATACGACTTTGATTAGCGTTCTGAATTTCTTTATTAAGAATTTTGTTTGTTGAGGATGAAGCTTAACAAGTTCATTGCGTTAAAGTTAGGGCTGTAAACGAGCCGAATTGAAGTAGTTTGTTTTAGCTTGCTTGTATACTCGGACGAACTTGAGCAATTGGATTGTTTGAGTAATTTAATTGAGCTTGACTAGCCTTACGGAACTGAATCTATATAATATAAGATTAAGTAGATGAGTTCAAGATAAGGTTAAAAAATTGACGAGATTCAAACTTCTTATTTTTTTAATGTGAACAACCTTTTAAAGAGTAAAAAATGAATCGATCTTGAATAAGTTGGTTTGTTTTTCAGTCCTAATTATACCACATATTACTTCATTATATTCTTGCCTTGTTTTGAAAAGCAATTATTGCAAATTTGCATGCTTGACTTGTGGTTGCAAAGCTATGTTATGGAATGTTTGAAATGTGCTGTCAAAACATCCAAAATCATGGAATTTCTTTGAATTATGGACATGTCCATGAGCTATTGGACAAGCTTCTAGGACTAGGAGTGTATTTGAATTCGAGTGGTGTTATCCAAACATGTCTGACTAACATTGCAGACAGAACTTTCATAGAAGTGTATATGTACTGCTTGCTAATGAGTTACATTGATTTTCTTTTGACTTTGCTATTTTATTATTCATCCTAAGCAAGGAAGTGACTAAAATGCAAGGAGTTTTGGGTTGGATTATTAAGGTAATAGAGGATGATGATACCCAAGTGAATAGTGATAAACATGTGTTAATATGTCTTCATTTATTCTATATAATATACATAGCTAAACCCTGGTGACCTTGTGATTTGAAGGCAAAGAAAGACCAATTAACAAAATATCTTGAAGTTCTGGTTGCGACTGAAATATAATGTTACAACTTACCTTTGTGGACCTAAAAAGACTCATGTTGATATGTAAAAATTGGCCAATAGAATTACAGTGATTCGCTCGAAGTTTATGAGTAGCTCCAATTTTCCTGATTGCTTGTTTTTTTCTCCAATAAAATTTAGCCAACCTGGAATAAGGGTATCTCGCAGCTCTGTTATTCCACATTTTTTACCAATTAGCAGCATGTGATTTACTAGTAGAATGTTGATGTTGTCAAATGTTCTTCTAGCTTGTTCTATTAGGTTTTTTCATGTACAGAAGAATAGCTCCTGTTTAGATATTTATTGTTAGTGTTTTTTGGGGGTTGAACTTTGAGCTTTTTTTGGGATTTTAGATTACCTTTCAGTCTTGCTCAGAGTAACTCCAGACTTTCTTCTCTTGATCACAATGTGATAATGAAGGGTTTTTCCATTGAGTTTTATCAGGCTCAAATATATTTAGCCTTTTTCTTATCCTTCCCATGTCATTTTTAGGGAAATATCTTTACACAGCAAGCTTGCAATGCGACCAAATTATTATATTTTGCCTTATTTCTTCAATGGCCTGTATTGATATTGTACTGCGATGTGACATCTTCTAATAGAACTCTCCAGCGTGGATTTGATCTTGGCTGATCTCAAAGCCTTGGAGGCATATGCTAGCTACTTTTACCATCTGTCTAAGTTGTGGACTAAGCCACTTCCCGAGGTCTATGATCCGGAAGAAGTTGCTGACTACTTCGCTTGCAGGCCTCATGTTGTGGCTCTTCGACTTCTTGAGGTAGTAAAACTGATTCGACATCTTGAAATAAATATTTCATCAGTACATAATGTTATCATCAATATAAGCAAGCTGTTATCATGTTTTGGAAGGTGTTTTCTTCATTTGCTTCTGCTGCAATCAGAATTCGAATCTCCGGGGTCAAAAAGGTTTCTAGGTCAAGCATGGATAGGAATATTGACGGAGATGTTACACAATACGATTTTGGGTTGGTGCTAAAAGAAACAATGCTAAATCTGGGACCCACCTTTATCAAAGGTAAAATGGAACTTAATTGAAATAAACTCAGACACAAATTTTCATTTTCCTGCACTGAGGAGATTACAAAGTTCTAGTTTCATACTTGCCTTTTCTTGTTAATGCAGTTGGTCAGTCCCTTTCCACAAGGCCAGATATCATTGGTTCTGAAATTTCAAAGGTGAGACGAAGGACTATTCTCCCTTATTTTGCACTAGAGTTTCTTTCTTTCTTTCTTTCTTCTTATTGTTTTTATAACTACAAGTTTAAGATCATGGTGATGAACAAATTTTAATTTGCTTTTCTTTCTCTTCCTTGCTTCTGTTATATCTGACTAAATCTTAATAGTACTTTTTTTTCCCTATTAAACTTGATAGTGATTTATCCGGTAGATTAATAATGAGGAAAAATCTTTATAGTGTTATTTTTTTCTGTTTTTTGGGTGAATATGTTATTTTTATTGTAATGATGTGAAAAAGTTTGTTAGGTTGGGTGTGGGACGCTTAGCTGTCCTATGGAGTGTTAAACACATTAGTAATTGTACTGTTGGAGTAACCTGGCAGTGTTCACGTGTGTGGGTAGGTTAGTTCATATAGTATAGCTAATAGCTATGACAATAAGTTTTATGGATGCCTCATGGATACAAAAGTTTGTGTCTCATACCCCTTTAACTGTAATCTGGAGTCCTTATTTTTTATTTTTTTTATAAATATTCAATCTAATTAGTCCTTGTCAAATCACATACTGGTAGATCATACCTTCCCCTTTTTTTTTCTTTCCTTTTTTGGTTTTAGTTATGATTCCACATTGCAGGCATTGTCTGAGCTGCATGAACAAATCCCTCCTTTTCCCAGGACGATGGCAATGAAGATCATTGAGGAAGAATTAGGTTCCCCTATAGAAACATATTTTAGCCACATCTCAGAGGAACCTGTCGCTGCAGCTTCATTTGGTCAGGTGGCTTTTATTTGTGGATTGGTAAACTAATATTTTCTTTGAAAACATTCTGATGTGGAAGTTGTAAACTTATACTCTTCTTCTTAACATACCAGGTTTACAGGGGGCGTACAATTGATGGTTTTGATGTCGCGGTGAAAGTTCAACGTCCTAATTTGCGACATGTGGTAGTTCGAGATATTTATATCCTGCGCCTTGGGGTTTGTATCAACCTCTAGCTGTCCCATATTTTACATATTGAAGCAGTAAATTCTTAACTAGTTTAGGAATCAATTGTTTCAGCTGGGGCTGCTGCAAAAGATGGCAAAAAGGAAAAGTGATCCTCGCCTTTATGCTGATGAGCTTGGCAAAGGCCTAGTTGGGGAGTTGGATTACACTTTAGAGGCTGCAAATGCTTCAGAGTTTATGGTACTCTTTTTGTTTTTCAGTTGGATTTAGTTGCTTTTATTAAGTTATCTATTAACTCCTTATGGTACTCTTTTTGTTTTTCAGTTGGATTTAGTTGCTTTTATTAAGTTATCTATTAGCTCCTTATGACGGGTCACTAGGATTATTTCCTAAAGGCTCAACACTCTTATCATGATGGAGGTGGAGGGACATAACTGTGGAATTTCATGGGAGTTTGAAATCACATATATTGAGTAACAAAAGGGTAGAAAATTAAAATATTGCACATTTATGATGAAGAGGACAATATTCTATTTCATGACCATGCCTTTTCTATTGCAAGTTCAATTCCAATTGTTGTTTTTAAAGTGCCTGAACTTTTGTAACTTAATTTCTTGAAATGTAAACATTCCAATATGAATTTTTTGTGTGGAAAGATCTGAAAATTTTAGGCCATTTTCTGTAAATGTTTTGGGAAAAGATTGTCCACTGGGGTATCAGCTTTTAGTTTATTGATACCAAATTTGTGGCATTCTTGTTGTGGCACACTGAGGGAAGCTCTCTTTGCTTAAAGGTTATGGCTCCAGAGTCCAGATTTAACTGTTTTTCTTTGTGTCTACAGCAAGCTCATGCTTCCTTTCCATTTATTCGTGTTCCGAAAGTTCTTCAGCATTTAAGTCGAAGGAGAGTTTTGACTATGGAGTGGATGGTTGGTGATAGTCCAAGAGATTTAATTGACATAGCTGCTACAGAGTCTATTGATCATGGGTCCAGCTATTCAAAGCGGCAGCAGATTGATGCTAAAAGACGTCTTCTTGATTTGGTATGTAACGATCTGCATAAATGTCTTTTCATACTTCGTAACGTTTTTCCAGTTACTCTAGTACGAGGTCCACACTGGTGCATGAACCTCAATTTCATATTTTAAATGACTTAAGAACCTTTATTTATGAAGTTCTTATAAAAAAAATGATCTATTATTGATAAGCTATAAAGCACGGACATTCAAAATAGGAGCCGTAGCGGTGTCGGACATGGGGACATGCCGGGGACATATTTAATTTTATTATTTTTTTTGCAAGGGACACGCTATTATTATTATTTTTTATTTATTTTTTTTGCAGGGGACTCGCGTGTCCAAATATGGATGATCTATTAATTTGTTTAAATCTAGCGGTTTGTATATGTATATATATTGAATTAATGTTAGTTTTTATTATTGTTTGGTAACATAGTATTAATCTACAAAAATAAATTAAAAATAATTTGTTGTGTCCCCCGCTATGCCTGTGTCCCCATTTTTTTGAAATCACTGTGTCCCGTTTCCGTGTCCATATCTGTATCCGTGTTCATGCTTCATAGTTGATAAGGTAGTGTTTGTTGAATCTCGGGGAAATGACAACTAACTCAACAATAAGGCTTGTAAAGAGTAGTTTGGTAACACCAAATATTGCAAGTGATATGTTGTTTTACGTTGATTTGATATTTGAGAATTTTGTGAGGCAATTAGCAGTTTCAAATGCATTGATAGTATGATCTAGGCTGATTATAGATCCATGGTCTGCACTTATAATCCTTTTGCTATAACCTATTCCAGGTTAACAAAGGAGTGGAGGCATCACTGATTCAACTCCTTGAAACTGGCTTATTGCATGCTGATCCACATCCTGGAAACTTGCGTTACACATCATCAGGAGAAATAGGGTACACTCATTTGTTGTCTTTACCTCTTAAGAAAGATTTGTATGTTAATTTTTTCTGCATTAACGATATAGATATATCATTCATTATAGAATTTGATTGCGAAATTATCCATGCCATTGTGATTCATGTGCTAGGTTTCTAGACTTTGGGCTGCTTTGTCGCATGCAAAAGAAGCATCAGTTGGCCATGCTTGCATCCATAGTGCACATAGTAAATGGTGATTGGGCATCCCTTGTTCTTGCTCTAACTGATATGGATGTTGTGAGGCCAGGAACTAATATCCGGCTTGTTACCATGGTATCATGTCAACTATTACTATCTCGTTGCCTATGTCCTTACTTTTGCTGTTTGCCTTCTCACTTCTGTAATGAAGCACATTTTGGCAAAGATAAAACGTGTTGTCTCTCAATTTTTAACAAAGTATTACATGCTTATAATCAAAATAAAGTGTTTATTATTTTCCTCCGCACTATGTTTGGAACACCATTATAAACTAACTCTTGGGACTAATTCATTATTCAGGATCTGGAAGATGCCTTGGGAGAGGTAGAATTTAAAGATGGAATCCCAGATGTCAAGTTCAGTAGGGTGAGAGTGATGTCTCTGTGCTTGTTATATCTATTCTAACGGTTTTTCATTAGACGTTGAAGGTTATATTGTATTTTGGCCAAGGCCAATAGTGACTTTCACGGCCAGCAAACAATCAATTTTATTCTATTAGTGAGGTGCTATCCTTAGGAGTTAAGTGCTATTGGGTTTATAATGTTTTAAGATCTACCATTTTGGGGATCCGCCCCGCCCCCCCGGCGGTTGTTTCGAAGCACATTAGGCTTTTTGTATTGTATAATGCATTAAAAAACTGTTTTGCAATCACATGGTTATTGCTTCTTCTGATAATTTTAAATTTATTAGTGGTGCTTTTTTTACCATTTCATCTGCTTTGTCTGGATATTTTTTCCAAGGGAACATTTCTTCTAGTAATATGTAAATTTCCAATTCAAAGAGATACATTTCTAATTGGAAAAAAATGCCAATCTTGTTTCATTTTTCACAGTGAAATTTCCATTTGAGATAAATATAGCCTTAAGGTGTTTATCTTTAATTGGATAATTTTTTCATTTGCTATTTTTTATTGAAACACAAAGAATAGAACTCTCATCTGCCCTAGCATTGTTTATGAATCCTCTTGCTATATATCCACAACTGATTGGCTGATTTTTAACAATAATTGTTTTGAAGGTTTTGGGTAAAATCTGGTCTGTAGCCTTCAAGTATCATTTCCGCATGCCACCATACTATACGCTAGTCCTTCGTTCTCTTGCTTCCTTGGAAGGTAGTTTTATTTCATTTTAGATTCCTTAATCCTCAAAAAGTTTCCTCTATTTATTTTCAGATTATCATTTTATTGGAATGCAAATATTAGAGAATTTTGTACATCTTTATCTTGCATTTTCCTTTTTTCATGTTTTTATGGGTGTTTTTAATATTATTAAGAACATAACATATTTCTAAGAGACAACCAGATGAGCAGTTCTTTTTGTCTTATATTGTAGTAAGAAACAAAATATTACGGCAGTGTTTTGCTTTTCCAAGAACTATTAGATCTCTTCTTTGATCGCTAGAAAGAAAAGGACTTTTGATGAACTAATTCATCTGGAATGGCAACAGATGTTGACTTCTTTTTTTTATTTTTTTTTTATTTTTCTCTCTCTCTCTTTTTTTTCTATTACATTGTATTAATGAACAGGAATACAAAGGAGAACTCTTGCTTTAACCATGTCCGTTATTCATCTTTACATAATAGTTTGATATTTGTGATTACTGTTTCATGTCTGATTCAACTGATGATTTATTTGATTAATGTGTATTTATTTTCAATCATCTTCCTCACAGGTTTGGCAGTAGCTGCAGATCCAAATTTTAAGACATTTGAAGCTGCGTACCCCTATGTTGTTCAAAAACTTCTCACTGATAATTCAGCTGACACAAGGAGAATTCTACATTCGGTATTAAAATGTTTAAGAGCAGCAGATGTGTTGCTTTTTACCAGATTTTGCCACGTTTTCTTAATGTAGTTGCTGTTGAATGTGGTTGCTCATTTTTAATGTTTATCTACGATGGGGTTGAGGCTTTTCTTGTTTGTGTGTGTGTGTGGGGGGTTTCGGGGGTGTTAAGGGTTAGAAATCGGTAATCTATAATATGAAACATGATTACTAATAGTAGGAGAATAAAGGTGGTCCACAAACAGGGTGGTGAAACTTTTGATTTGATGATCTCAAAACTCTCACCTAAGAAGACAACCTTGCTTGACAATCACAACCATATGCGGAACCAATTCATCTATTAAGAGGATATACAGGGAGGTAGATTGAAATATCAATACACAGATTGATTTTCAAGTCATGGCCTGACTTCTTGATGCATGCTTTTATTTTTATATGGGAGAGTGCTGTTCTTCACTCCACTTGTTTGTCTTATTCTCCATTTGTCTTGGTGAAATTGCAACCATGGCCCGGTCCTTTATTTTGTTTGTTGGGTGTTGAGTTGCCAACTTTGATTTTCTTGTAAAAGACGGGCATTATTGTAATGTAACCAAACTAAATTGAGAATATGACAGAGTGGTGTTCAGCCAGCTAAAGGAGGAGTGCGAATAACACTCCCCTTATGTCTTTTTTATTTTTATTTTTTTGTGTGAGTAAAATTAAAAATTTCATTAAATGACAATATTAGGAGAATGCACCCGCATAGAAAAGAGATGCTTTTTTTAAATTACATATCTGAAGTTTTTTTTCATGGCTATCCAAGATACTGGAAATCTGATCTCTATGTTGGTAACAACTAAGGTTGTTGGGAAGATTTTATAATTAGTTAATTGGAATTTCTTGTTGCTTTTTAACTTTGTGTTCTTTTTCAGGTTGTTTTAAACAGAAGGAAAGAATTTCAGTGGCATAAGCTCTCTCTTTTCTTAAGAGTAGGAACAACCAGGTAGATTGACTAGTATCTCTCAGATTCTACCCTTGACAGGAAAGCTAATAAAATTCTTCAGTTCTTGTTGTAAAAGTTAGAAATGTACTGTACTGGTCAAGATTGGTGTTGCTTGTAAGTTCCTACATCTATCTCATGTGACAAAAATAATTTGATTAATGCATTTTCTTCTTCTTCATTTTCAAGATGCCTTATCCCTTGTATTACGAGGAGCAGCATGAATCTTGTTCGCAGTCCAACCTACAATTTCCAAATCTTCAATAAGAGCATTACTATAATTTCACTTCGTCTAATGTCATATTCGACTCTTCGTCCCCATTACAGTCTACCTCAATGCATTTCGTACATTATTTGTTCCATAGATGGCTCAAGTACTTCCTAAATTACTTGCTGCAAGCCTGCAACATGCTAATGACTGAGTTTTATAAACTGCTAAGAGAGCATGACAAAATAATCTTCTATGTAGGAATATACAAGTTTTTATCCATTGAAAAATAGCGTCAAAAAATAGCAGAAACATTTATTCATGGAGTAATGCAAGCCCTATGTATTTGAAAAGATATGCACAAAATAGTTGTGCATACAATAGCTTATTAATTTAGCGCCATATTTTCTAGATAATCAGTTCCACTGTTCCTTTTCGTAGTTGGTGTTTGTAATACATACGAACGTTTTTTTTTTCTTCATGCACAAGTAGTATTTGACTTCAATACTTGTGATCAGGAAAGCATTGTACCGGGTGGTAGCATCAAATGGTGAAACTTCTCTCAATTATTCAGCAAATGGAGGTACGAGGGTGTTTGATATTGCAAACTTGGTCCTGAGATTCCTCCCATCTAAAGAAGGCGTTGTGATGAGAAGACTCCTCATGACTGCAGTAAGTACCTTCAAGCTGACACTTTTTTCCCTTCATAAATTACAATTTCACTGATTTAAAAGGTTTCTCAGATTAGGTGCCTCTTTCTGACTCTCAAATTTGTCGATAATGCAAAGTACATGCTCCTCACCTCAAATCTTTATCCTACCCCATCAAATTCTCTCCAGTTCAGAATCTCTCTCCTGTGACTTAAGTTGGAAGTTGGGAATAGGAAGTTTGGTTTGGATTTCGTTTTCATTTTCTTCGTATTCATTTTTCGAGTTTTTGGAAACCAAAACAAAGGAAAAGTTAGAAAACATCCATCGTTCTCATTTTTGTGCGAAAATAGTTTTCGAAAACAACATTTGGCAATTCCTAAATAGTGGATTGTTTATTTTCAGAATTTTTTTCGAAAAACACTTGTTGGAAACTCTTTTTTTTTTTGGATAAGTAAGTCATATTATAACCAAAAAAGATAGATATACAATGAAGTTCAATACACATCATTTGTAGGGAGAACAAACATAAACAAAGAAATAAACTACTCCCTCAAAAGAAACAAACTAAGCCTATAGACGACAAAAACACCAACCACAACAAAGGATTCAAAATTTCCCTCTAGCACTCTTCAAGTAATGAAGTTTCGCTTTGAGTTTTCTTCTGTTATCCTCCTTTGTAGTCTCCTCATTAATGGGATCACTTGGGGATGGACCCCCTCTACTTTGTAGGCTCTTTGTTTGACACAACAACTCTTGATTTAATTTTCCATTTCCCAACTCTCCCATATCACATGATTCAAGGACATCAAAAGCATTAGATGTTGATGGGGTGAAACACTGCGTCTTTGCCTCTTTGTTTATCACTGTCGTTGAACCTTGTCCACCATCTCTCCCTTTTTTCTTCACCACTTCCCATTTGGTTGGAACTTGTATGTTAGTCTCCTTGACTCTCCACTCTTGTTTGGAAGATGGAGGGTTCAAGGTCTTTGGCTTCTGAGGACACAAATTAATGGTATGACCAAAAGTCTTACAACCATCACACCTTTGAGGCTTCCATGGAACCTCAACTTGAATCTCATATGGGTTACCATAACCAAGATTTATTTTGAAAGATTTAGGGATCTCTTTATTTGCTGGCACTTCAATACATATTCTCGCAAACGTAAGTCTGCTTCTCTTAAACGTAGGCTCATCCAAATAAAGAGGAGTTCCCATGATGCTAGCAATGTAACCCAAACCTTCTTCAGTCCAAAGCTTCAAAGGAACATTATACAACTTCACCCAACAACGGCACACTCGAAAATTCACACTTTGTTAGTTTTAGTCCAGGTTGCCATTTTTTAACAACAATCAATTTAGCCCCAACGTAATAGGGGCCATCTTCCAAAATTTTGTCTATAGCCTCTTCACTTTTTACTTTAAAAATAAAAAACCCATTATCAATGGAGACAACATCCTCAAGCAAATTTTCCCAAAGTTTCTCTGCCCAAGTTTTCACATAATGGAAAGAGAATCTTTTATCAATGAAGTATCCAACCAAGGCATTTTCCCAATGAGAAAAGCCTTTTTTTGAGATCTCTATAGGGACATTGTACATACCATCTACTAGGTTCTCAATCTTATGGGCACCTATTTTAGAATTCATTTTTGACACCTTGTTAATCTCTTCTTTAAGTAAAGAGCTCCAAGCTTGTAGAGGCTTACCTAATATAGCAGTTGTATCACCATCAAGACATTTATCCTTGCCATATTGTGTGTCTTCCATATGTAGTTCAGCTAAATCTTCATTACTACAAGCTCGCACATTTTCAACACTCTTCCGTTGCTTGGTATCAATTACTTCTCTCCTTTGGTCAGCATTGGGTGAGCCAAGTTTCTTTGACATTATCATTTCATTTGCCGCTAGTGGGGAAACAATGACCAATTTTGGCCATTGCTCAAGATCAGTTAGCACTCTAGTTGGTGTGTTCCATGCATTAGGTATTTGGTGCTGCTTTGATGATTGCTCAGTTGAGGCTTGCATTTCCACATTCAATTTATTGTGTGAGAGGAAAGGGTGTTCAAGAAGAGAGAGGGAAATGAAGGAGTTCAAGGACCAGATGGAGTTGTCTGATTTGCCTATGTTTGGTAGACAATACACTTGGTGTAATGCATTGGAAGGGGATAGGTGGAGTAGGATAGATCATTTTTTGTTAGACTCCTTATGGCTGGAAAAGTTTTCATTTAATTAATGGGGCTTACCCATAATAATTTCAGACCATTCTCCAGTTTTGTTGAAGGAAGATGATAGGGATTGGGGACATAAGCCATTTAAATTCATTAATGCTTGGACATCACATCCTATATTCTTGGCTGAAATCAATGTCTCTCTCTCTCTTTCTCCTTAATCATCTTGTGACTTCTCAGTGACAGAAGTTCACTTAGGCATTTCGTCGAACAGGTTGAAGGCAAGACAGCAAAGAATCGATTTTTCAAAGCTTTAGTGTATCAGTTCATGCCAAATGGGAGCTTGGAGAAGATGTGTACAGCTACCTCTCTATATGGAAGCTTCAACCTAAACAATCTGGGTGGGGCGCAACAGCCAACAATCATGAACAAAAGCTTCTCAGCCTTGAGCAATGGCAAGAGAGAGATAGAGCCTAGTCTTCCTTTAACAAGCAAGAGTGGGTGCGTGAAGCAAGATCAGCATTGTCGGAGAACATTGATCATGAAGCATTTGACGTCGCTCAGCGGATTCTCGAGGAAGCTGCTTCTCAATCAGTTAAACCTTGTCATTGTGTCAACATTATATCAATTCCCACATCCATATTTCATTGCTTATTGGGACTACTCACAGTCATCCAAACACTGGCAATCTTAACTGGTTATGCATTGACAGCTCTGCCAGCATATGAGATGGATCAGTTAATTGAAACTTCTGATCAACAGCTTGTTTCTTTGTAGGATGAGGATTCTCATCGGCAGAACCCGACAAGGGAGTGTAATCAATAATTTTTGATGCAGTCAGACAATGTCCACTAGGATTGTGCCCTTCAACACCCACAACCTGCAAAAATTGTTGGAAACTCTTTGCCAAACTAGTTTTCTTGTTTTCCAAAAAATGAAACAGAAAACAAAAACACAACCAAACTAATTCTCTATTTCCTTTCTTTCTAGTTCTCTTTTGTTTTTTTGGGGGTTTGGGCGGCTTCTGTTTGTCTTCATTTTAAAATCCAGGAGTCATTTACTCATGGTATTTATCTTGCTTTCATAGACAACATGTACACTCATATCTTCTGTTATGCTTGGGCTTCATGTGAACTGGATGAATTTGGTTTCAGTGTCTTTATGCCAGTTGTCCCCATAGCGTAAACTACTATCCTCAATTTTTTTAAAAAAAATTTATTTTTGGAACTTGAAATAATACAGTGCATTTGAATGAACAGGATGGAGCTGCATTAGTCCGAGCAATGGTTTCGAAGGAAGCAATTATCTTCCGCCAACAACTTTGCAGCGTAATTACCGATATAATATACCAACAGATGTTCAAAACTTTTGGACAAGGCACTACCATCACTCGGTACAGTCCTCGAGTGAGTGTGGCAAGTGGGCCTGACAACCAAGAGCTTAATTCATCTTCCATCCGTGATTATCAGTACATCCTTAGGGATAGGCGGCTCAAAGTGATTTTATTAAAGGTACTCGACTCTGCAAGGAAAGATCCGATGTTGATGTTGAGGTTTTTCTGGGCTTCCTTTGTTATGATGTTCACAGCTTCGGCTTTGGCTTTTCATCGGATGCTAATCTCCTTGTCTGAAACTTACTTGGGTCCAGTTTCATTTCCATCGAAGAGATATGCTTTCACTACGTAGTGTTTTGTAGTGCAATTTTCTCTATTGTGTTGATTATGTCGAGAATACGTTGAGAGAAATACTAACCTCAGAAGGCTGATAGGAAGACCAGTGTTTAACCCGAGAAGGTCGATATGAAGATTTGTCTCAAACTCGTGGTAAGATGAGAAGACTGATATGATCCAAGGGCTGTGCTAAATCTGAAAAGTGGTCTGAGTGATGAGGGTTTCATTTGAGATCGGCATATTTATAATAAGAAATTTGTATAGTAACTTGTAATATAAAGGAGCTGCCTTTATTATTTTATTTATTGTTATATATATTTATATATATTTTGTGTTGGGTACTGTGGATGCTATTTTCGTAGTCAAATTTACATTGCTTAGCACATCGAGTTGTCTTTGCTTAACAAATAAGGCATCCAGTTTTCTTGCATTTTGGACAAAGAGAGCCTCACATTTGGGGTGTGTAGGAGGATAGTTGAGCTAAAATACCTCGTTAAAAGATAAAGAATAAAGGTTGAGACTCCCTTTGGGGGTCACCTCTTTATCTCTTTTAGTTTTGATTGGTCAACTCTTTTCTTTTTTTTTTCTCACCCAATCCCCAACCTCCATATGTGTGAGGAGGTTGTGAGAGTGGGTGTTTTAAGTAGGTCTAAATCAATGCCCAAAGATAAAATAGTCGATAAGATAAAATGTTATATTTAATTTATTATCATTTTATTTTTTTTCTTACAATTATTAAATCAATACAAAAAAAAAGTTAACTAATTTTTTAAACACAATTTTTTTAGTGAAACTAAAGTAGTCAAAAAAAAATTAGCCAACTTTTCAAACAAAGCCTTGTGTATGCTTAATGCTGAAGTCTTCGGTTGTTTGGAAAGTAGTGCTCTAACTTCAAAAAATTTAAAAATAAAAATAAAAAATACTACAAAAAGATAACCCTTTCTTTTTTTCTTTTTTTTTTTTTTTTTTTTTTTTTTTTGGAGAAAGTTAAAAAATAACTAAAAATGTTAGGGCAAATTACATATATCTCCTTCGAGGTTTAGCTAAATTACAAATATTCCCTTGAAGTTTCAGAAATTACATCCCGCCCCTTGAGGTTTGTATTTTCATAACAATTTGCCTCCTAAGGTTTATATTTCATAACAAATTACTCCCTAATTTCTTATGCAAATATAGCATTCAGGGGGAAATTTGTAATTTCTCAAATCTCAGGGGGTATTTGTAATTAAGCCAAACCTCGAGGGGTATATGTAATTTGCCCAAAATGGGTAATTACCAAATGAATCCTATAAAAATGTTGAAATTTTAAAAACATTTATGTGATTTTGATATTAGTTTTTAATTTTTTTTTTCATTTTGTCAGTTCAATATTATATTTTCTCAAAAAAAAACCCATTTTTATCACTAAGGGTTCATTTGGGATATGGATTAACTTTGACTTTTTAACTTTCTTTTTTTGTTTTTGTTTTTGGAGAAAGTTAAAAAATAACTAAAAATGTTAATTCCCAAATGAATCCTATAGAAATGTTGAAATTTTAAAAATATTTATGTGATTTTGATATTAGTTTTTAATTTTTTTCATTTTGTCAGTTCAGTATTATATTTTCTTAAAAAAAACCCATTTTTATTACGAAGGTTTGGGATATGGATTGGCTATTTTAACTTTTTAGTTTTTTTGGCTAGTCTGAGGTTAAAAAGTCTCATTTGTGATAGATTTTTTGATTTTTTTAAGGGGTTGTTTGAGATGTTCTAAATAAGTGTACTTTTTGACTTTTTATAAAATTTGGGTTGGGTTTGAAGTGATGTGGTAGAGATGTGATGTGATTTAAATAAGATGATGTAACTTAAAAAGGACAGTGACTTTTTGACTTTTTAGCTTTTTTAGGAATGCCAAACCTAGCCTAATTTTTGTGAGAGAAAAAATAAAATGATTATGGCTTGTATGTGACGTGATATTTTGTCTTATTAGACTAAAAAGTCTATTTTATCTTTTTGTGATTAAAAAGTCAAAAAACCTAACATTGTGTGGGAAGTGGGTTGGCTTTTTGGCTTTTTTGGCTATTTTAGCCTGGGCTTAAAAGCTTGGTTTGGGAAGGGCTTTTTGGCCTTTTGGCTTTTTTGAGTTTTTTTGTGAAAGAAGAATGTAATAATTATGGATTAGATGTGATATTTTGTTTGTTATGGCTAAAATAACCTATTTTGTTTTTTGTGGCTAAAATAGCCAAAAAAGCCCAAACCATGGCTTCCCAAACGAAGCCAAAGGTCATCTCTATCTAACCGAATTTTTATTAGGGCAAATTGCACAAATAATCCCTATAGTTTGGGGTTTGTGTCACTTTGATCTCTAACTTTTCAATTGTGTCACATTTGACCTTGAATTTTGAATCTTGTTTCAAATTAGGACAATTGAAGATATCATTAGATTTTTCAAGAGTAAAATTGTCTATTTGATAAAATATAAACTAATTTAATAAAAATAAATGTCAAACAAATATTTTTGAATTTTAAAAATTATTTCTACCCACTAAAAATAAAGTTATGTAAAATTGATAAATCTTTTAGACATTTTTTTTTTACCAAATTAATTTTTATTATGTGTTTGGATGATGATTATGTAAAATTAATTTAAAAAAATTAATCATGTAATTTTTATTAATTTTATATAATTTTATCATTGGTGGATAAAAATAATTTTAAAAAAATTAAAAATATTTTTTTGACATTTATTTTTTGTCAAATTAGTTTATATTTTATTAAATTGACGATTTTACCCTTGAAAAATCTAATGATATTTTCAATTGTCCTTATTTGGAACAAGATTTAAAATTCAGGATCAAATGTGTCACAATTGAAAAGTCAGGGACCAAAGTGACACAAACCCCAAACTATAGGGACTACTAGTATAATTAACCTTTTTTATTATTAATAATTCTTTTGGTGGTGCAACATGTATCGATTAATGCACTAAAACTAGTTGTGACGTTATTATTGACCTCACTCATTAATCACATTACAAATATAAATATTTTTTTTAATTATGTTACATCATCAATTGATACATGAGTTAGTCCACTAATTAGTGCATATAGCATTGTTCTAATTCTTTTTGCCAACTAGTTATGCCATAATTAAACCAGCCGTGCTACCGACCCCCAACTGGGGCACCCCTAGTTACCCCCAGTGGTAGGTGGCACACTGACAGTGACTGGAATCCAATAAAAAAAAAAATTATTTTTTAACCAATCACCAATGATCTCAGCACCCAACTGAGGGTCTAAGTCATTTTTCTAATTAAACCGATAACAAGAAGTAATAAATACTGCTTTGACGAATTTTATCAAAATCGGACGACATGGAGCCTCGGTCCACGGAATAATATGGTGTCCCGCGTCCTAGCAGATCACGATATCGTCGACGTTATTATCACCGCCTGTGATCTACAATTCTAGTCCTCCTATTCAGAACTCGAAGCCAAACTCAGATCAAAGCTTCGTTCCGAATCAAATCAAATCTCCGATCAGTATTCGGAGGCTCCGCCGCCATGAGTTCTCCGGCGATTTCAGGAGTATGCGCCACCTTCTCTCTCTCTCTCTCTCTCTCTCTCTGTGTAAATATATATATATATGTGAGCTATGAGTGCAATGCTCTCTTAAATCGATAGTAGATCTGTGAATCCTAAGAATTTCTCTCTCTATGATCGCTGAAAACGTAGCATTTTGCTGTAGAACACCATTAGCTTCTTACTTCGCATTGATCGCTTCGCTCGATTCTACATTGTTTTACTGTGTGTATATATGTATATATATATATATGTATGTATGTATGTTTATGCGTGTTGAATTGGCAGGGGACGAGCTTCTTCAGTGGATTTACTCGGCTGTGCAAAGGCCTTGCTGTAGTACTTGTCGGTGGACACATTGTCGTTCAGATCCTCCCCTCTGCTGTGACTTATCTTGCCCTTATCCCCGCCAGGTTATTCTCTGTTTAACAAATTAATAATTTTGCAGCCTAGTTTTAACTTATTTATTCTTTGTCGTAAGAATCACACTCGCACGAGTTCACATATGATTTATGTATGACAGAATTATCAATCTAGAGAGAGAGAGAGAGAGAGAGAGAGAGAGTTGTTAAGCAAGATAATATGACATCCAATGTGCAGGGGAAATTGTTTGGATTTTGACAATCTTCAAATGCCTTTTCAGTTGCCAGGATGAATGATAAGAATGGTAATGAGAGACTGGGAACTAGCATTGGTCAAACTATTAAGGCATTTAGGTAATGTTTGGTTCACTCGAATGAAATGGAGTGGAATTAACATTCCATTAAAATATCCATTCTAATATTTGGTTAGACTGAAATAATAATAACAAATGGAATTATCTTTCATCATTTTAATAGAATGGTCATTCATAGGAAAGTCTAAGGAATCACTATTCCATTCCAACTCATTTCAATGAACCGAATAGAGCATTAGTAATGTTTGTTCTTTTGACTCTTTGTTTGTTGGTTTTGGTTTTGGTTTTGGTTTAAGCTAGAGTGTAGTTATGACCTGTCTAGTGGTAAATTGAATGTTTTAATGGTAAACTAGATTTAACTCCCATCAAGTTCTATTAAAAACAAGGTTCTAAAAAGCGGTTGCAGTCGCCGTAACGGTGGTGGAGGAGCGGTTGCGGTTGCGGTTGCGGGGTGTAAAGGCCGTAGTGTAACGGTTGCGGTAACCGGAACCGTGAATTTTTTTATTTTTCGCACAATTTAAAAAAAACTTACCGATACGCACATTTTTTTCCCATGATCATATTTATTGGGTTTTAAAATAAATATTTAAAAATTGACAATCAACAACTCTTTTTTTTGTCACGAATTTTATAAGTTGTCGCTAATACTTACAATTAGTGATGTTTTTCTATGATAAAGTTTTCAAAATATCATTAAAAGTTAAAAATTAATAGCTTTTTTGTGACGATTTTTTTTAAAATGTTACTAAAACTTATAATTAGTGACATTTTTTGTGACAATTTTCAAAATATCATTGGAAATTAACAATTATTTATTTTTTTTAATAGTGTTTGATGAAAAAAGCCATTAATTATCATAGGACCTATTGGACAATAAGTCCATTTATACACGTAAGTCCCCCATATTTTAAGTTGATGCTATTGATATTGCAAATTGAAACCTGTTTGAAGGTGTGAAAAAAGAAGGAATGGTTACAGCATGAAGAACAATGTGTTTTGGGATTTGGGTTTCTTTCAGGGTTGGGATTTATATGGCTTTTGGATTGGGGGATTTTCGTGTTGAACTTCCCAATTCCCAGTAATGGCGAATCAACATGCCCTTTCTCAAATCTAGAAACTGATCCCAAGTCATTTTGATTAGCAGCTTAAACTTTTTTGCATGGCAGTTGTAACTTTCTGTATGTAATGAATCTGATTTTTAGAATGCAAGTTTGGAAAAAAGTTAGGTGGAAAATTTGGGAACTTCTGTCCAGCATGAAGTGAACTACTTCCTTCAGTATTGCGTTAGTAGTTTAAAGTCAATATTGCAATTAATTCCATGGATTCACATCCAATGAAGGAAACATAACCTATAGAAATTGAAGGAGTTGTCTTGAATGAGGATTGTTTTGAATTGTAAAATGTTTGTGTATTGTGGCAATATTTCTCTTTAAATTGTGTTCATTCTTCTTTGAAGTAACTCTATATTCAATATTCTCGTCTTATCATAGGATGATTAAATTTTGAGGGCAAACTACCAATAGGTCCTATTAGTTAGACTTAATTTCCATCCAGTCCTATTGAAAATAATTCCTAATACAATTATCCTTAAAAATAATTTTTAGTGACGAATTTTTGCATGTTACTAAAAATTGACAATTAGTAACTTTTTTTGTCTCGTTTTTTTATAAGCTGTCACTAAAACTTATAATTAGTGACTTTTTTTGTGACGAAAATTTTAAACTGTCGTTAAAAATTAACAATTAGTGATGTTTTTTTAATAGTATTTGATGAAAAGCACCATTAATTCTCATTGGACCTATTGGACAATAAGTCCACTTATTGGAACTTACATGTAAGTCCCTCATTAAACTGCATTGAATATTTGTTATGTGTTGTGATGTATATTATGGTATGAGGAATCATATTAGTCCATGTTGAAAAAGGGTGGAATTGAAATTTAATACTAATGACATGTTTCCACTATCTAGATTCCATGTTAGTTAGCCAACTTCTTGTTTATATTTATATTTAAAAAAAAAAGACCCTTTGATTAGTTGTTCTTCATAAGAAAATGTTACAAAAAGGCGATATAGTTGTTGGTCGTAAATTATATATATTTAGAAAGATAGTCTTACCTTTTCACATTGCAAGGAGAGGAGTGAACCGTAAATGTCCTCTACTTTCTTTCCCTGAAGTGGAAGCTCTCAAATAAACCTGTATCATGGTTGAAAGTTCTATTTTCAACTGCAATCTCGCACACTTCAAAAAGTTCCTACTATCCAGATGGCGGATTTAATTGAATGTTATAGAATCCTACCAATAATTGAATATCTTTGAACTTTGAATTTTAACAATACTTGGATGTATTAGAAACAGGCATTGCATGGTTGAAAAAGGAAGTAAGCAGCATGGAACTTTTGGGTTCAATTAGTGTTTTTTGACAGTCAGTCAAACTGTAGTTACGCACATACATTCACTGGCTTTAACTATAGATATTAACATTTGTTTGTCACTACCACTGTATGTGTGCTGATTATTTTATGTGGATGATATTGTGGATACTTCACTTGACTGACCTAGGAATAGTAAACTTTCTTGATAGTTAGAATGTAAAATGAAGGAATTTAGGGTTGAGATTTAGGAGGAAGAAGAAGGAGAAGAAGAAGAAGAAGAAAGAGAAATTTTATATATATTGAATAATCATTGTACCGCAACTTTACATCAGTCAAATATATATACAAACCCTAACATAGCAATATGACCATCGTACCCTCAACTTAAGGAAATATGAACAAGAGAACAAAAGAACAAAAATAAGTATTCCAACACTCCCCCTCAAACTGGAGTATAGAGATCAAACATGCCCAACTTGACGGATAAACGATGAAACAAAGGCCGAGCCAAAGGCTTGGTTAAAATATCACTCAATTGATCGGCAGAACGAACATAAGGAGTCACAAGTTGCTTGCGGAGTAAGAGATCACGAATAAAATAGCAATCAATTTTGATATGTTTGGTGCATTCATGAAACACAAGATTATTGGCAATGAAGATAGCAGCCTGATTGTCACAAGTCATGTTCATAGGAGTGGGAACAGAAAAGTCAAAATCTTGGAGCAGAGATTGAACCCAGAGCATCTCAGAAGCAATATGGGCCATGGCACGATACTCAGCCTCGGCACTAGAACGAGCAACAACAGTTTATTTTTTGATACGCCAAGTAATAAGATTACCACCAACAAAAGTACAATAGCCTAAGGTGGAACGGTGGTCAATCTTATTACCAGCCCAATCAGCATTACTGAAACCAGTGACAGACAAAGAGGAAGATGGGCGATAGAGCAAACCCCAATCTAGAGCACGCTTCAAGTATTGCAAGATACGACACACAGCCACAAAATGGGTTTGGCGGGAAGCATGCATAAATTGATTGACCACACCCACAACATAGGTAATATCTGGACGAGTGATAGTGATATATATTAACTTCTCAACTAATCGACGATAACGACCAATATCGGGAAATAAGTCTCTAGTGTCACCCTCAAGCTTGACACTAGAATCCATGGGAGTATCACTCGGGCGAGGGCCTAAGAGGCCAGTCTCAGTAAGAAGATCAAGAACATAATTCCGTTGAGAAAAAAACATGCCCTGAGAAGAGCGGGCAACTTCAATCATAAGAAAATACCGAAGATGGCCCAAGTCTTTGGTGTGAAATTGTTGTCCCAAATACTGCTTCAAATCAGCAATACCACTGGAGTCACTCCCTGAAATGATGACGTCATCCACATAGACAATAAGAACAATACTCCCAGTAGACGAGTGGCGAACAAAAACAGAGTGATTAAAGGTGGAACGGTGAAATCCATAGGCAAGCACAACAACACTGAAGCAATCAAACCAGGCACGAGAGGACTGCTTAAGACCATACGAGGCCATCTGCAATCGACAAACAAGATGCTCTTGGTCGGGAACAACATAGTCAGGGGGTTGATCCATATAGACCTCCTCTTGGAGATCACTATCAATAAAGGCATTCTTGATATCAAGTTGATATAAAGGCCAAGACTAATTAACTGCAACAGAGAGAAGAATCCAAACAGAGTTAAGACGAGCCACAAGAGAGAAGGTCTCCAAATAATCAACACCATAGGTCTGGGTGTAGCCTTTAGCTACCAGGCAAGCCTTAAGTCACTCAACAGTTCCATCAGGAAGATACTTAACAGTATAAATCCAACGACAACCCACAATAGATTAAGTTCCCACGTCTGATTTTGATGGAGAGCATGCATTTCCTCATCCATGGCATGCTTCCAACCGTAGATGGACATAGCTTGCTGATAGGTGTGGGGAATGGAAATACTAGACAAGCTACAAGCAAAGGAGTGAAGACCAGGAGAGAGGCGATCATAAGAAACGAAATGAGCAATAGGATGTTGAGTGCAAGTTCGTTTACCTTTGCGGAGTGCAATAGGAAGGTCATCAGATGGCATATCAGCAGGTGGAACAGGGGCCTCAGACGAAGGAGATGAACTGGTCGGGCCATTAGACACAATGTGACGAGCTTGAGACCGTTGATAAACCTGCAAAGGAAGGGTAGAAACGAGAGGAGATAGAGAGGATATAGGAGTAGATATGGAAGGAGCATAAAAGGGAAGAGTAGGAATGAGCGAGGCTGGCTTCCCCTCACGAGAAGAGAGAAGATCAATGGATAACTGTTGCCCAGATGAAGAAAAAAACGGAGTAGGCTCAAAA